AAGGGGTAATGCCCCTTCTTTCTTCTTCATTGAAAGAAATTTTACTGGGCTGTTTGTTGCTTCTGCAAAAAAATTATATGTACTTGCAGAAAATAAACTTTCTGTAGTGTTCATGTATTTTGGCAAATCAGATGCTTGCATTTCTTAATTTGAAGGAAATGCTGCACTGATATGAGGGATTGTTTTATCTGGTCATTCATTAAATGAATCTTTATACATTCTCTGGTATCTTCTCTGTGCTTGTTTTTTCTTTTCAATATTAGATTATGCCTACATGTGAAGTTCTTCCTTTGAGGTTTTTTTTATTGCAACTTCTTCTCCTGCTGATACCTCAAAAGCAAGTCAAGATGTAAGTTTTCATGGTTGAGAGAAGATTCTGTAAAGATCTGTTGCTGATATTGAAAGGGAAGGTAAGCTTGCCATGACAAACCTAATCACCAGTGGGTGGACCACTATGCTCTGCTACTCTTCCCCCACTGAATGGACAAGAAAGAGGAGGTAAAACACTCGAACATGCAGATGTTTCTCATCTACAGTGGGTGATTCAGCTCCCACATTGGTTGCTCGAATCCCATTTCACCTTCTACCACATTAAATATGGAGATCAAACCCAATTGTTCCCAGCATTGTTGTAATCACTGGTTGTCCTTCATCAACATGTGGGTACACCCACCAGTATCTGTGCAGGAAAGTTGGTAATCCCCCCATGATGATGCCAAAGGAAGAAATGGGTCTCATTTCAGTCAACTCCTGAGCCAGCTTCTATCCCCACTGCTGCTGATGATCTTGCTTCCTTTCTGTCAAAAGAAAAAGTGTTGAGAGAGATGAACTACTCAGTCATCACCAGGTACTTATTTAGAGCAGATCCATGGTGTCACTGTTCCATTAGTTGGTGAAGGAAATGAAGGACACTCCAAGAACAGTTGACAATCTCATGTACTAATTTCTGAAGTTGTCAATGTCAACCTTATTAACATCCTTGCATATGTCGATAAAATCGAAATATATGTTAGACATGGAAATCAGAGTGCTCAGAGATACAGGTAAATTGATCACAAAATTTCTAAAACAATCTGGCAAAAATATAGTTGAGAACATTTAATCTGTAATCAGCAACAAATTTTGGTATGTTCCAATACTGACTGCTCAGTGACCAAGATCATCTTTAGGAGACATGACTGATCCATTTGAAGGACTTACCCATCTGGAACTCATCCAACTTTTTAAAGATCAATTGATTGGCATGCAACAAATTAGTGATTGACCAATTAGATCGTGTTGTTTAAATAAAGTAAACAGGAATTATATCTCTGATACCAACACATGAGCTGTCAAGCAGTGGGACACAAAGCATTTCTTCAAACTAGGAGCTTTGATCTTGGAGAAATCAAGGGAAATGTATTCTAGTGTGGTCCATTTAGCTAAAACCATGGATTCAGCAAGCTTTTGTTAAGGGTAAGAGTAACAATTTTTGTATTCTTTCCAGCTCATTTGGCCAGGCTAATAAGACGTGAATAAGGCTATGTATGTGGCTCTTATGATGGTGATAGATTGTGATTCTTATCATATTAAATACAAGCAAAGGACATGAGACACATGCATGAGAGAGAGAGAGAGAGAGAGAGAGAGAGAGAGACTGTGTTATACAATAAGCAGAAAGAAAGAGAAGTTTTTGTCTTGGTAGCTTAGAAATTTGGTTTGCTAGCTCTGATGAAATAGAAATGGTTCTTGTTAGAGTTCTTAAGATCAGATCTCACACTTAGAAAAATAGTTTGTCGACAATGGCTGGAGAAGTTTCTCTCTCATCTTGGAGTAGCTGCAGAATCAGTGTTTTCTCTACATCTTCAATTGATAATATGTTAGTGTTAAAGAGAGAGAAGAGTTCCAAGTCTACTTCAACACAACAAGAACATTGAAAGGTGAAATCAAGATTTTGACTTGTATCCATCCATCCATCCATCAATACATAAAACAAAAGATTAGATTTGCCAGCCATTAAATGATCCTCTAACTGAGCCAACATGAATTTTTATTTGTGGTTTGTATCTGAATAGACATATCATTTCACTGATAAGTTGCCCAAAATTATCAGCAACGGTTGGTGGATGATTTATGTGCGTTGCAGAATGCCCAAAACATGCCGTCTTACTGAGGGAACGGAGAAAGGGACAGTGTTTGTCCACAGTTCATGTCCTTGTCTCAGATAAAACCTTGCATTTTTCGAAGCCGATAGGAGACATCTTATCAGAAAGCTTACGTATGGTTCAGAGACATCGCCACGGATGATGATATCCAAAACCTGTCTTCATCGCTTGGCCTGCAAGACCTCACTGTCCCCAAAGACACCTCAGAAGAGGAGCATTTAACCTCTCCATGAATGTGCTTCCATTAACGATGATCAACGTTGGCAATCATCCCTCCCTGTTTTCTCAAGTCAACTCCACAGCCTTCGTCTCTTGCTTCACAATGCTACACCACAAAACTTAGATGTGATCCTTTGTGACTTGCAAGTATTGGATTTGTTGATAGAAAACAAATAAAAGATTAAAATATTTATATTGGTGAATAATCAAATATAATAATGAGATAAATATAAATATATTTACATGCTGTAGTTAGACGAAACCAAACTACAAATAAACTGAAAAGAAACATATCTTCGTTTTTAAGTATGGAGAGATTGTTGACTAAATTTATAAACTAAGAATATTATTATGTAAAGAACTCAATTAAAAAAAAATACTGAGATCATCCGTTTGATAGAAAGAATAGAAGATAAAGAACAATTATTGAAGAAGCTTTGTTGAAGTAGCTTTAGCTTAATACATTAAGGATTTTCCTCAACGGAATAAAAGATTTTCATAGTTGAGGAAGAGATGCCACAGCGGAAGGGAACAGACGTTGGCGCAGAGTGGCATTGGAGAAGATAGTTGTCGTTCGTCGAGGAGAGAAGAGAAGCTTTATTGAAGTAGGTTTAGCTTGAATACATTAACATGTCCCTCTCCTATTTATACAGATTAGGAGGGAAGATTTTTCTTAGAGGATTTCCCTCAAAGAGATTTTCTCGTATTAGTCGAGGAAATCTTATCTGCTATCACCGTTAATTAATTTAAATTTGAAGTGTTAGTGAGTCCAACAAACATATGAAACACTGCCGTTCCATTAAATCCAAACACACATTGTGCATGGCCTTGTGCTCCCTCTGTCAAGTGATTACTGCACTGATAGCACAGAGAAGAAGAAGAGAGCCTATCAGCGCGTGACAGAAGCCAGCTTTGGGACTCGAAAGAGAGAGCTTTAAGGATCATGCATGCCTCGATGTCGGGACGATGATCCGCAACAGTCTGGTTCAACCTCTACAATCACCACACCAAGAAGAAGATCCTGTTCTAGTTTGTTTGTTAGACCATCAAACTGGATCGTTGACAAAGCCTTGGGAACACACCTACTTGAGTTAGCTCCTTTGAAATGAGTCGATTTGTTCCAAGCCTTTGGCGATGACTGCTTGCATCTTGCCACCTTAGGCTCACCCCCGCTAGGTTTGGTCTAACTTATCCTCGTCGAGCTCACACCCATTGCTTCTCCACCACCTTAGTTTTAGCCTATTTTTAGTAGACAATCTTCTACCCTATGCCACACTCACTCATAAGAGAAACAGGATGTTTTCATAAGCTATAGTTTGAAAAAAATTATAGAACTCTATCTTTAACCAAACCTCGTAAGACGTATTCAAGGTGGACATCATTATTATCATCATGGATAATATGTCACTGGTGATCTATTAAAAATTTGGTATACCTTAACATATTCCATATATCATGAAAGATTATTATTTTGATACTTTCATTATAATAGTTTGATTTCACAAGAAAAGATTACTTCACTCCAGCTAGTCTTCTTCTTCACAGCATCACAACCTAATTCTTGATCCACATTAATTTTGACTGTGACTGTGAATGTTGAGGACTTTATTATTAGATCACCTCGGAAACAAACTTAACAAGTCAGAAAAAGGAGGGGTTGTTGATCCCTTTATTGCTAAGTAGCTAACGTCAACATCAGCAGCAGTGTTCGTATAATATACATGAAGCCTTTTGGTCCATGTCAGAATCACAAGGGCTGAGAACGAAAACAAGAAGACAAAGTAGAGTGCAGTCACCAGCAAGACCAGCCAGGGTGCATGCAAGTCCCCACCACTGTGCTTGCAGAGCAGGTGCAGACAAACCCAGTCCCAATACTGCGGAACTGGGAAAAAAAAAGAAAGAAAGAAAGAGAGAGAGAGAGAGAGAGAGAGAGAGAGAGAGAGAATGAGCATGGCATGCATGGACAAGAGAAATCAGAGTGGGACATGGAGCATCGAGCTTGGTGCTCAGTCATCGCCATGGATGTACCAGCAAAGGAGCAGGGTGGCGCAGCGGCGCAAGATGTAAATCCTCGCCCGCTGTTCCTTCACCAGCGCCGCGCACCTTCCGGCGAGTCCCCTCCTCACCTTCTTCCTCTCGGCCATGATCGATACTGTTGATCCACTCCGTGTATGGTGAAGCTTAGGCCATGGCGCAAGGCACACAAGAGTGCATGAGACGCTGAGAGCTCATGCTGTGCAAGTTCCCCATGGGTATTTATACACACAAGCAAGCATGCAGGAGGAGCGAGGAGGCAGGATGGCTGAACATGGTCAGCATGGTAACATGGAGAGCTGTGTGCTGCATGAAAATGTGGAGCCATGGCCATTTTTATCAGCACCAGGAACATGGTGATGTCTTTTTTGATATCAAAATGAGTGCAGAGGGGCTTATCCTAGCTATTAAAGTGGGAGAAAGGTAGCTTAAAAGGTGGAAGGATGCCAAGGCAAGACGAAGCAAGCTTGTACACAAGGAAGACGGTTTGCCGGTGGTTGACTCAAGTTTGGGTGGCAACGTTTGGTGGTATTCTCTTGCATCTGTCCCAAGTAATATATCTTTATCATATGAAACAATCAGCATATTACTTGATCAAAATTATGAAGCAAATCAGAAGGCATCATATCCTCCCCTATAGCATCGGTAATCATATACTCATATCAAGAAATCCACGATTGCCTAAGGCTTATGTGCCAAAGTTCATGTTGTATCATCAAGTAAATATGGGAAACAGTCCCACTGCTTAAAGCTTCGGCAATGGTCAACTGAGCTCACTTGACAGAGAAGCTAAGCCGACAGGAGCTGTCCTCGAGTCTACTCATGGTGATGCAACCATGGAAGCAGGCCCTGGAATTGATGCATGCATCTTAACGTTCATGGGGACTGTGACTACTTCATCGTTAGTGCTGTCAGCAGATCATGCACACAGAAAAGATTTGGTAAGATTCATAAGAATGGAGAAACGAAAAATTAATCCATTACAACCTTTCCTAGGAGCCAAAGGGGAAGAAGAGATGAGTGACTGACCCCTTAAGATACATATATTGAGATCACCTAGAGAGTTGGAAGAAGATTTGGAGCAGATGATCTAAGATGATCTTGTTGGATTTTGATCTTCTGCCATCTGTGGATTGGGATTCTGATTCCTTGGATATCTACAGCTCATCCACATGTCTGGCAAAGAATTAGTCAACTGTGGACAGCTCCAACTTCCAGGATTGGAATGGCAGAGACTATGAGATTGAGATGTTCCTCAGCAGGGGGACTTGGTATCTAAGTTAATCCCTTGGGAATTGTCAGCTATCCCTGCATGAGAAATTTCTTTCAGTGTTGAATGGCTCTTTAATTTTGTTTCCTTATGAACATTATGGGTGAAACTCCATAAGCACTTTGTTGGTTTTCAGGATTGCCAACATGATTTATGCACAAACACTAATACACACACACACACACACACATATATATAATATTATATACATATATCACAGGTTAAATTTTTACATGTTGTTTAAGTAGGGTAGCATTTTAAAGATCATTTTCAATTTCAACTTGTAGACACCAATTTTAAAATGTCTGTCTCTTACAGCTCAATCCTTTAGCACATGAGTACTATGTGATACACTTAAAATGAAAGTAGCTTAAGTAGCAAAAATGCCCAATGACTCATAAAATATAACATCAGGTTTAATCTCTGCTTCTCTAATGCATGGAAATTGGGATAACCCATGAATTGGTGGTCTGTATTTCTTACTAAGACTAATAAAATGATGCTCTCACCATCTGTTTTTTTAATTTAGGAAAGAAAAGGAAAGAAGTCAAACATTAAATGATACCAAGATGACAGTTATGTTGTCTCAAGACTCTTTACTTCTTTCTTCTTTTACCTTTTATTTTTTCCTTCTAATGTTTGTACAAACAGTAACTATCTTTTTCCTAAAAACAATAATACTGCTTTTAATTTCTGTAAAGGTGTAAATATAAACCATGTCATCACATACTCTTCTTTTTTCTTCATCATTCTTGCTGTACCATCCACTATCAAACATCTTTGTTGATTTATCAGCAATTCTCCCATATTATAAATCAATTTCACAGTACAAAGTTTCCAATACCAGTCCGTTAAATGTGTGCTCATAGACTCACAAAACCATATTATATTATAGTAAAAACTTTTACCTGCTCAATACAAAGCTCTCCAAATGTACACACTCCTGATAACTTCATCATCAACTAAGACTTACCTCCTTGAAGATGGATTTGGAAAGTTAAGACTTGAGCTGTGTTGCCTAATCCAAGTGGCTTGTTCCACAGATGCTGATTTATGCTACATTGGCATCTTTACATTTTGATGAAATTATATCATTCCAACTTTTACTTTTATTTTTATAGATTTTACTACTTCAATTCTACCACTACACAATATGTGTATGTGATGCTTGTAAGATTGAACCTAGCACTTTAATCAACAGGGTATATCCCAACTTTTACTTTCACCACAATGTGTCAACGGATGCATTTTCTTTCCTTTCCATTGTAAAGGTCCACAAAATTCATTTGGTTTGCAGGAAAACCAAAGTGAGGTAAGTTACTAAGCACATTGAACTTAATCATGAGTTCTACCTTCTTGGTAGTGTTGAAGTTTATAATAGATTGTAATGCATGTGGAATGATCTTATGAAGAATCTCATATCATTTTTAGCTAATTTCTGAACTTACAGAAGCTCTTGAATTTATTTGTCACAGTTTCAACTTTTGCTGTTTTCTCACAGTTCATGTTAACCAACAAGTTTCAGACATGATTCTTGCATACTACACTTATCAACTAAGGTTAGGTTTGAAGAGCCTTGTTTCTTTAATTATGTTATTAAGAAGCTCACATCCTAATCTTGCCAGATTAATTAAGCCGCACTCAAATATCTCCATTACCTTTCTGCGATCAATCTACTCTGTGATGGAGTGAAAACCTCATCAGTCACATACCTAAAACCTTGTTGAATAGCTTGCAGGTTAATTTTTGGTTTGTCATACTCCCAATGCATTGTTGTTCTTATCTGTTCAATCTTCCTTCTACTTGTCTTTTTAACAAACACATGGTGTCCTCACCTCGAGAATTACTTAGAACAGGCTCTAGGGCACCACCTCGAAAATTCCATATGTTTGTTTTATATGCATGATTGAAGAGGAAATCCTTACTGGTCAATAGTAAGGACCACAATCAGTACTGGTAAACATGCATGAAGAACTTGAAGCAGAGATTGGACGGAGAACAAGAGAGAAAGAGACACTGACTTCTACTGGTTGTGGATGATGTTTTGAGGCCATCAGCGACCTGCTTCCATGTACGACTAAATCAGCAATCTGCTTCTGGACTTCAGCTAAGAAAGATGAAGAGTCTCCTTGTTCAAGTGGCCACTGAGCCTCTCTGTGCCACCACAACCGTCTCTTCCCTTGGCCTTTAAGCTTCTGTGATCGCCAACGCATTGAATTAGCTGGTCAGATTTAAGTGTAGAAGGTGACTGGAGATGGGGGACGTGCGTTCTCGTGCTTACCTGTGTCTCCTCAGTAACACCAAACACGTAACAGCAGCTTCCCAAGGAGTTGGTAACCATGGTCCCACAATCGGACCTGTTGATCCCATGCATTTCAACGAACGGTAAGCGTTGGATCTCGGATCCTGTGTCCCGTACTTTTCAGCTAAGACGAGAGGGTCCGGCCATCACGGGAAAACCTCTCTTCTAGGTGTCCGGATCCTGCGCCTCAATCGAGCCACCCAGAAACTAGCTAATAATTAGTCAAAACAGTGGGCCCATCGCACGTCCTTCGGGTCCCGCTAATTTTGACAAATGGAAGTCTCTGTTTCAGTGTGGTGACGCGGCTGATACAGCCGATCAGTACCGTCGCTTCGGTTCGCCATCCGGTCGGGAGTTACCGAAGCTTTTTGCAACGCCGACCCAGCTTCGTCCCCGTGCTGCCTCCTCTTCTCTTCGAGACATCGTCGTTCCAATCTCCATTTCGTTTCTCTCTTCCTCCTCCCGTCTCCAGGCGTCGATTCGCCGAATGGCCAACGCGCTGGGGCTCGTCTCGTCGTCCCTGCACTCTTTCCGGTGGAGAAATCGGGCTCCTTTGTGGCTCTCCAGATCCGACAAGAGGGCGCCGTTCATCTGCTGCGCCGCCGGGGATGACGGTGTCGAAGGCCACGTTCTCGGCGCTGCCTCGTCGAGGTCACATCGTCCAAGGTACGCCTTCATCTTAGCCCCTTTGTGATTTGGCTTGGTTTCTTTGGTCTTTGTGGGAGTTATCTTCCGCTGTACGCAAAGTCTGCTCTGTTTTGGTGGGTGGGCGACATGATCGTGAGCGAGTCACCAAAAGATTTAACATTTGCATTGCTTTATTCAGAATACAGTTGCAACATATTTTTTTTAGTCTAATTGGTTCCCAAGATATTCATATCAAGATATTTTGCAACAATCGGCCCTCAACAGAGGACTCTGCGTGCTGCAGAATGGGGAGTAAGTAAACGATACTGATATTGGTACCACGATTTGAAAATCTTAGTTGTTCTGCTTTTGTAAGCTTGACAAATGATAAGGCTTAATTAGGTATGCCATGAGAACAGCGACAATGACTATCTATCTTAGATAGGAAGAAGTAGCCAACAGGCAAAACTCCCTCAGAGAAGGCTTCATCGAAGGTCTGAGAGTATAATGGGTGAATTTCTGACTGACGGCTTGTGCTTATTGCTTGTGTACTAAAGTGTAGAAGTTAATATTAGAGTGGTTTCATGAAGCATGAGAGCTATAGAATTTCGAGCATGACAAAAGAGTGTCTAGAAAATTGGACATTGTAGCTCATCAGAAGATTGGGACTCCACGGCCTGTAGGCAGAAGCAACTTAGACATGCGTAGAAGGTCGAATCAATCAAATGGATAGTCTTACAACTCCATAAACAAAGTCTCACAAGACAAGTTGATCCACCCTCATTGTGAATGATTTAAGGAGGATCAATAAAATCATACGACTTTGTGGCATCTCTTGGGGTTGCTATGACCATAACTATATGGCATTGTAAAGAAAGCATTTTCTGCAATCTATTTTTACATGAAACCCTCTTTTTACCAATAAAATAATTTCTAGTAAAACCTACTTTGGCCTAGTATGGTTTCTTTGGCAACTTGGTGTTCCTCTCGGTTCCATAAAACTGGAGTTTATTCAGACTCAATTCATTTTCTTTAAGGTCATAGCGATAGACTATATTTACTCCTTGCTTTTGTTAATGGTTTTAATGCACAATCTACATGTGCACTGACTTTCATGTTTTTGCCTATTAGGCCACACCAAAGCTTTGTTTTGCTTTATTTTATGTATTGTGCTTTTATTTGATCTACCTTAGGTAGTTTGTATTTTACAAAAATGAAGCCAAAGAGTTTTCTGATGGGTAGTTGAACATGCTTTTTGAAACTATGAATCCATTCTAACAATGGAAAAGTGCAGAGTCATTGGCATGGGTTCAAAACTTGTTGGTTGTGGATCGTCTGTGCCGAAGCTTCTTATTTCCAATGATGACCTTGCACAAATTGTTGAAACCTCAGATGAATGGATTTCTGTTCGAACAGGGATTCGTAACAGACGAGTTCTTTCAGGTATCTGTCATAAATTACTCAATTTCTTCATTAATTTTGTGTATCACATTGTTCATAAGACCCATCTGCAATTCTTTTGACTCTGTGGCACACTAGTCTTTTTTTCTTGTGGAACAAGCTTCGAGATCATCATCAATGATCAGTCTCATAAAAAAAAAATTCAAAAGTAGTAAAACTGTAATGACGATGAAATTGTGTCCAATGCTTCTGTGAATGACACATATTATTCCAAAAAGCATGTTTTTTCTTCTTCAGAGGGATGTGCCCATAGGCAAATCTTCCTTTCTATATAGACAAACTACTGTGATTTTGCATGATCTGTATTTCTAAGTTTTTCTCTTTTTTTTTTTTTTGAAAATTTTGGTGTTCAAAAGGTGCATTTGTGAGGTTTGAACAGAACTTCTGTGCAGCTAACACTAAAAAAAGGTCAGTATAAAACAAATCAAATACCAAAAGGACACTGTTGTCTGTAACTTGACACTACAGCACTTGCCAGGAAACTGTTATTTCAATGTTCCACTGGTGAATCTTAACATATGGTTTATGTCACATAATGAAACTAGAAGTCATATAAGCTGTTGTTTTTCTGTTCTCTTTATTTTAAAGTGCAAAAATATGAAACAAAATAGATCTTAAATTTGAATCTTTATCAGTGTATATGATAAAGAAAATCTTGCAGGAAATGAAACATTGAGTGGTTTCGCTGTAGACGCAGCAAAAGGCGCTCTTCAAATGGCTCAATTAGAAGCTGAAGAAGTTGATCTTGTCATAATGTGCACATCCACTCCAGATGATCTTTTTGGATGTGGCACGCAGGTCTACTTGATGTTGCTTCTGAATGATACTCCCAATTTTTTGAATCTCTTTTAGATTAAAAAAGGATCTGGCTTGGCTTAGATCAAGTTCTTAAATATATATTTCTGGTGACTTAACTTTAGATGAAAATGCCAAACACTCTCTTGAACCTTGCAACTCAGGATATCACTGCATGTGTGCAGCTTTAGGAATCGACAGTCCTTATTTATGGTTGTCTAATCTAGTTGCCAGTTGCATTTAGTCTAAATTTATTTAGTCATTAGTAGCAATTGAAAGTTCAAGCTGCTATTATGCTTCATGCTTCCTGCTAATCTTATATCCTTCCACCTTGAGGAACCCTAGACCCATTGCTGTGAAAGTTGTACAGATTCTCGAGTCAAATGATTTTGGAGCTTGGAACTTGCCTGTGCTTATACATGTGAAAATCCTTCATATGATAATCTTATTGCTTTGATGAGTTCATCTTCTATATTCAAAATTCAATCATTTCTTTTTCATTGTTCATCTCTTCTCTTGAGTTTGCCAGTTCTGGAAAACTTTGTTGAATTTTCTTGGAATCTTGTTTCATGCTTCTCTTTTTGAAAGTGTACTTTATTCAGCTTAGCTCATTAAGTTATGAATATTAGCATTTGTTTCTCATTATGTTTCTGCAGGTTTATATATAGAAAACTTTCTTTTTGTCTTTTTTAGGTTCAGAGGGATTTAGGGTGCAAAAATGCATGGGCCTTTGACATAACAGCTGCTTGTAGTGGGTTTATTGTGGGCCTAATCTCTGCTACTCGCTTCATTAAAGGTCTAAACTACTTTTTTATATGAAAATATGGTTGCTGGTATATCCAATAGCTTATAGCACTAACTATGCTGCTTCAGCTACAGGTGGTGGGTTTCAGAATATATTGGTAATTGGAGCAGATGCCCTTTCACGCTATGTGGACTGGACAGATAGAGGCACATGCATACTTTTTGGTGATGCTGCTGGTGCTGTGTTAGTCCAGGTTGTGTTTTGTTGCCTTTCGATAGAAGAGCTAATTCAACTTATTACACTGTTCATATTGGGATATATTTAAAGGTAAAAGATGTCACTATTTTCTATTGACACCATCACACAATCTCTTTACTGCCATTGTATGAACATGGAATAGTTACATGACTTGACCTTCATTTGTCAATATTGTTAATTTATATTATCAACGCTTTGGATCACGAGTAATTGTAAGTAAACTAGGGGTTAAAAGAAATAAAATGACATTTTTATCTGTCGTAATGAAGATAAGAATAACAGTTTGCAAGAATTCTTAATAATGTGCAAGCTGACATTAAAAGGATTGAAAAACCAAAAGCAAAAGGTGACAGACAAGTTAATTGTATTAGCTGACACTTCCCTCTTGTACTTCTTTTTATCTCTTTGAGTGCTTCTTAAATTTTTAGATTGTCAGAATTTCAAAACAACACTTCAAAAATGACATTTATGGTGTTGCAGCCCAGCACATATACCAATTGTATAGTTCTCTACCATATGGATGCCATATGTGATGGATCCACAAATCTTTACTTGGAACCCAGCTAGCATGGAAGTGTCTCCATGTACAACTTATCAAAAATTGAAGTTTATGACATTCCATTAATTTTAATATTGGTCATATGTGAATACTACTCAGAAGACAATAATTTGTCATGTATTTTAACTTTTGCTTCTCATTTATAATTCTACCTGTTTCGTCATTTAGCTCAATTAAAGAAGATGCCATGTTGTTAACAATAATCTGCTAAACATGCAAGAACATGATAGTCAGCCTTAGCTTTTGATCATGAACTACATTATGTTCTCTGAAGTTTTAGGAAATCAGCTTACTTCGTAAAAACGAAAAGCTTGTTGAGTGTTCGAAAGTTGGCAACTTGCCTGGTTAACAGTTGATAAACCGATAGCAGCTGCCATTAGGAGCTGGAATATTTAGACCATATACAATTAAAAAAGGATGATGCATCAATAAATGTCTGCATCTGCAACATTGCAACTTTGACTGACAGGTTACTTATCACTTTATTGTTATATATAATCTCAAAAATTAGAAAACTATCACAAATAAAAATAGATGATGTAGAGAAAATTTGCTTTTGCCATTAAGCATGGTCAAGGGTGGTAGCTTTTCTGCATATGTTATTAGAGATTTAGGAATACCAATGAACTTAAAGAGTGACCCTCGGATGCGGTAGCTAGAAGAGATGAAATGATTAATATTAGTGGTACGAGGAGAGATAAAGGAAGACCTAAAAAGACTTTAATATAAATTATAAATAAAGATTTAAGTACTTTGAACCTAATTAAACTTATGACTTTTTACAAATTTCAATGGCAGCAAAAGATCCATGTAGCCGACCCAAAATAGTTGGGACTTACAGCTTTATTGTTATTGTTGTTGTTGTTGTAATGAACTTAAAGAGTGTTGCAATGGAGATGGTGGGCTTATGTTCGTTTAAGTGGTGTCCACAAGAAGAATGGGAAGGGTTTGCCTTTGTCACATTGTTTCTTGAAACCTAGGTACTGATAATATAATGTTTGATGAACATGGTGCACCAATGAATTGGGGAATGGAGCTTAAACAACTCAGGACCATGATCATGATCTCTCAATGTGAAATTATAAGACAAGCAATAGGACTAGCAGGATTGGGCAATATGTATCAACGGATCAAGCACAATTCTACAAGAGGTTGGGGTAATGGAAGACGAAGTTTTATAAACCCTAATTTTCCATATAGATTGAAGGAGCCATGTCAACTGAACAACATTAAACAATTTAGCTGTATAATGGAAGTATAAACAACCCAGTAATTTTGTATGAAATTTTCTGCAATGGTTCTGCCTATCTATGAGATGACTATGATGAGGATTTCATTTACCTACGGAGTCTTTGAATCTAGATGATATTTTGACCACAATCAATCATGTAGTTGTTAATGGAGATGGATTGGACCAGCGCTTTCCAACATTGTCTAAACTGGAAGCAGGATTTTCATGGGTCTGCATCTGCTTGGATGATATTCAGAAGTCTCATGAACAAGATATGCACAATGGGAATGAATTGATGTAGCTAAAGGTCAATTTAAAACCTGGAGACCTTAGTTTTAGAAGATTAAATATTCTAATTTTATTACTTCATTACTAAAGCGAGGGGCATTGTTGGAGCTGACTGAGTCAAATGGAGAGCAAAAGTTGGGATTTGTGTTATATGCTTATGTCTATTTAGCAGCTTTATACATAAAAGAAGAATTTCATGACTAAATCCATCAAAAAAGTAAATATTTTCTCTGTGAAAACAAGAAAAGATGTACGTGTTGCTTGACTTTCCATTTTCAAGTTATAGATGATTTCTGTGCTTGTTTGAAACTCTACGAACTTGACATATTTAGTAGAAAAAAAAATTATATTCTGGCCTAAGGCCATCTATCTTTTTTCTTATTTGTTATTGCCTCATTATTCTTTTGTTATTCTTCCTAGTTTTCCCTATATTCCTTTTCTCTGCCACCTTTTTCCCCTTTTCTCTCTGCTGTAATAGCATGCCTACTACAGACAGCTGCTGTTTCCTTCTCTGAATTAGACTAAACTGCAGCTAGACGGTTCAGACCTGATGTTTTTGGGATCATTAAAGCCCTTTGCCATCTTAGTTAGGTTATGTGCTGTAGAGATTGAAGATTTAAAGTATTTAACATGGTAGGCACAATCTTAGGGGCTAAAAGCAATGTGAGGGAAGTTCTCTTGCCATTATTTTATTTATATTCGTATCAAATAAAGTTTGTTCGATGCATCTATAAAATTTTCCTGCTAAAAGTTTAGCTTACCTTATTTACTCCTTGCAGGCATGCCATAGTGATGAAGATGGCTTGCTTGGCTTCGACTTACACAGTGATGGCCATGGCCATAGGTGTGGATCTATGGGATAATCTTGATCTATATTTTCTGTCCATTAGTCTCATCCAATGACCGGCTATGGTTCCATTGCAGGCAACTAAATGCTCTAGCCCAAGGTGACGATGATAAATTGATCTCAAACAGTAATGGTGCTCCTCTGTTTCCTCCAAGGAAATCATCATTTTCTTGCATCCAAATGAATGGTAAAGAGGTCTTCCGCTTTGCTGTGCGCTCTGTACCACAGTCTATCGAAGCAGCACTGGAAGAAGCTGGCCTCAGTAGCTCAAGCATTGATTGGTTGCTACTTCATCAGGTAAACACCTACCAGGCTGCAATTCATTGTAAAATTCTCTAATTTCCTAAAAGTTGGTAATGAATACTATTTGGCAGGCAAACCAGCGGATCATAGATGCTGTATCCAACCGATTAGAGATCCCTTCTGATAAGGTCATATCAAATTTGGCAAACTATGGCAACACAAGTGCTGCATCCATCCCTCTAGCATTGGATGAGGCCATCCGGGGTGGCAAAATTCAGGCTGGCAACACCATTGCCACTGCAGGCTTTGGTGCGGGACTCACATGGGGTTCAGCGATCATAAGGTGGAGATGAAAATGGAGGCAGAAGTTGTCTGAGTGTATATCCTCGACCTTGTGAACATTGATTTCCTGAACCATCTTGGATTTCTCACATCATGATTCAAGTAGAAGAGGGGTTAGTTCCTTTTCCTGTCCATGTTTTGGTGACCATTTCCTAAACTTACTGGTTTTTTATTTACTTTTTCAAGTAAAATTGTTTTCCAAAGTGAAATAATGAGCACCCAAGCATTATTTTCTCTTGGCCACAATGGGGAACTGAACTAGTAGTGGTGTAGGACAGCAACCCCAAATGCCACTCTAGGTGAATTTGCTTCATTTGATCAGTGTGATGAAGCTGGCAGACCATACATTAATATCAGAATGTTAGTTTCCTTGTAGAAGCACAGTCGGTATTGGATAAACAATTAAATTCTTTTGTGAAAATGGTGATGTTCCATTGTCGATATATCTGATGCACAAATTGAGGACTTTGCTGTTTATATTCCTAAGCTGTGGCTGATTGTCTGATATTTTCCATTAGTCCAACAATAGCATTTCATCATCATAAATTTTGATTTAAAGAGCAACTAGATTTACTGTCTACAATGAAATGCCATGAGTTGTAACAGAAAGAATTGGATGGTGCCACCTTGTTACTTGCTGTTTCAAGCTGCAATGCATATATATATATATATATATACATTTGGGATTAATGACATGGATTTTTACTGTCATTGAACTCTTTTCAAAACGAGATCTCTAGTTGAATTAAGAATATCTGGATCTTTATTTGTAATTTCTAATACAATTTTTTGAGATCATCTTTTATCTAGCTTACCTCTTCTAATTATAACATTTATGATTTCTCCTAGCAGAGGCATATGTCCATGTCACCTCAAATGATTCTTTCTCCTTTATTTATTTTTATTAAAATCATATAAAATTATTCATGATTGGTTTTTTAAATCTTTGCTAATAATTCTACACTTCCACTTTAATAATTTTATCTCAGTGGTACATATTTTTGCTTCTTAACAGTCATTGCATGGTTATGTTAGACATAAGATGCATGGAAAATAAAAAATCTTGTGTTTACACTACTGTAAGCAAATTTCTTTCAGAACCTCATATTGATTGCTTGCATGTGATACACCATATTGACGCAAAGGCAGTCAAAGTCTTGGAAGTGTCTCCTTCCTTTGTTGTATGTTTGTTTCTTTTCCCCCTTTGTTAGGTAGGCAGACTTGACAAACCTTGGAAGGTTCCTCGTGCCATTTTGTCGTCATCCATTGGAACAGAGAGGAAACGAAGGAATTAGGTGTGTAACAAAGCCTTGTTGAGACTAATTACAACTTATGTAAATTTGATGTAGAGATTTCAATTGAATGCAGTGGATTATTGTAAGTCTTTCAGATGGAATGAACACATGAGGGGTTGTAATGAGTCTGCCTCTACTGTAAGAAAAGTGATTCCTTTGACCATCTTCTAGAATTTAGGCAACATGCAGCAGATATCAAACAATTAAACATGGCTAAGTATATTTCTCTGTAGTAAGCAACAAGTTAATTTGATATTTCAAATGGTCACCACAGAAGGATAAAAATGAGATTAAAATCTAATTTTCTTTTTAGGTCCAAAGTAATTCCTTACAGCATATCCACATTTATTTATGTTCCAGAATCGTCATTTGTTTATATATATATATACATATTTATATAAGAAAAGGAAAAGAAAAAGCTGGAGTGCAAACCTTGAGGAACAAGTCAGTTGGAGCAATCACGACCATACAAGAGGAAGAAACTTGAAGTCAACCCCAGTGCGGGTCAATTCCACGCTCGACCGATGAGCGCAATCCACTGCCGCCCGTCTTCTTCCTCCTTTCGCCGATCGAGCCGTGTCAAAGGAGCGAGCCAACCTCCTCTGATGGTGCAGGTTCCCAGAAAGATCCCAGAACACACACGCGCTTCCCTTCTCTCTCACACACGCACTCGCATCCCAAGACATGTTCCCCATGACTCCTCCCTCTCGCTCACGCACCAACAAAGTCAACCAGGCCCACCCACGTCCATGGCGGAGATAGTTTTGTGGGACTCCAAGCTGGGACGTGAAACACTTCGTTCAAATCCTTCTTGGACCGCAGCCCTCTCCGTTCCAACCTTTGACATGGTCTCCGCTACTTACGTCTCTGTGTCTCCGTCTACCCGACTGCGACTTCTATCGTCACTGCTACTGCAATTATCTCCCACAGTTTGGCTTCCCTTCCCCTTAAAGTCTTGGTTCAGTTCGGCACTTGCATCACCTTCTTCTTCCTCGACAGCTGCAGCAGCAAGCTCATCTCATCCTAAATCTTCCTTTGGAGAAGGCAGGGAAGAGCATAGATAGGATGTCAACGCCAGGTGATAAGTTCGGTGGCGGAGGTGGTGATAACACGGCCGTCGTGAGGATCAGCAGCGAGGTGATGGTAGCGGCGGTCGTCTTCCTCTTCATGGTCGTCGTCTTCGTCTTCTTCCTCTACCTGTACGCCAAGCACTACCTGCGGCCCGACCCCGCACTCCGGGGGCGCCGCTCCCGCGGGCGCTTCGTGTTCTCTGCGGCCGACGAGCTCGGAGCCGGCGTCCCCGGGCGCGGCCTCGACGCTGCCGTGCTGCGTGTGCTTCCCGTCACCGTCTACCGGGCCGCGGACTTCAAGGAGGGCCTCGAGTGCTCGGTCTGCCTCTCCGAGCTGTCTGACGGCGAGCAGGCCCGGCTGCTGCCCAAATGTAACCATGGCTTCCACCTTGAGTGCATCGACATGTGGTTCCATTCTCACTCCACCTGCCCTCTCTGCCGGAGTCCTGTCGGAGCTGAACCTTCCACGAAGCCGGATTCCGATCCCGAAGCGCAAACTCCGCCGCTTCAGACTCTTCAGGAGTCGCCGGTCTTCCCAACGAACGTGCTGTTCTGGGGCGACCATGATCAAGTGAACGCAGGGAGCTCCACGGCCGACACGGTGGCTCACGGAGGAAGCTCACAGGAAGGGCCATCGAGCTCTTCGGGCCGCTCGGGCAAGCCAGAAGGTGCGCTGGTGATCGAGATACCGAGGAGGGCGGCGGAGGATCTCCCGTCGCCAATCTCGCCATTGCCATCGAGTAGGATGGCCATGGAAGAGACGAGATCGCCGGTGTCGGCGACTTTTAGGTCGCTGAGGAGGCTTTGGAGCCATGGGAGGTGGACTGGTTCTTCTTCTAGCCCGAGGGGAGGCGACATCGAGCAGGGTTTGGGGGGATGTGCAGAGACCAGTCTTCCACCTCCAAAATCTCCATCCAACTCCTGAGTCTACAAAAGTTGCAGGTGGAAATGGGTGTTCTTCTTCTTCTTCTTTCTGTTGGTGTTCTTTCAGAGATGAGTTCAGGGAAGCTGTGGAAAGCAGCTCTGCTCTGTAGCCAATCTCTAGTTCCAAATTGCATCGGTCGCTTGCTTGCCGATCATTGGAACTCATTGGATTTGTTGTTTCTTGATGTACAGGAGAAAAGTACCTGTAAGGTGATGAAGAAATCTCATCATCTCTAAGAAGTCATCAGCTGAGTCTGTCTGAATACATTTTGATTTATTGATCCAAATACATTATAGTAAATACAGGGTTTATAGATTGGTATATTACATATTTTAGAGATGCATCAATTTGCATCATTCATTCTGTTCTCAGAATTCATCATCAGTAAAAATTGTTTGTTTAGCCTGAGACAGCAAGGTGATGTAGAATCAATTATATTCTAGTATATAGCATCAGTATCAATCATATTCTAGTGGGATTTGCAAGTTCTGGATGTTGTTGATCAATTCTTAATCCCATCTTCTAGAATTCTCCTGAGGGCTCAGATAAGGAGAGCACTGTGAATACAACTCTAAATTGACAAGTCAAACCTGGCAAGCTTCTGAAAAACTGTAACAATATAGTATGTCAAAATGGATTTTCTTATGAATAACATTCTTCTATCAATGGTTTTACGGCATAAATGCTGATTGGGCTGATATTACAATCGATATATATGTGTGATCTCTATTTACCCTTATAAATAGAGACTGTTTCACAATAATTGAGCTCTAAAATGCTGGCCTGAAGTTTGATTTGATTCAGTCTGCATCTTGAATGAGATTGTTCATGTAGTAGCAACAAGGTTTTGATGCTCACTGTTGTAGTGGCAACTTTTGCTTTTCATTAGAATGAACAGATAGTTTGCTGCTTCTGGTATTGTAGAAATGAAGGTGATTGAGTTTGCACTGCAGCTGTTCTGAGTTCTGAAGCTACAATTATCTATAACAGAACTCAGAAGAACAGAAACATGATCTCTTATATTTGGGGATTGGGGGAGTAGAGGACCATAATTAGCTTACAAGCTCCATAGGAAGAATTCTCCTTGGCAAGATAAGATTTTTCGGTTAACCATTAAGAATGAAGTATAAACACAAACTGCAGAACCTCAGGAAGACATAAAGAAGAACAAGAACACCAATAAGTAACATTCCTAGCTTGATCAACCTGAAAACAAGCCACAAATTTATGTTAGACATTGGGAACTCAAAATCTGATTTCTTGTTCTCAAGATCGACTGGCCTCTCCTGTTACTCCTACAACTTTGACTCATATATTTTCATCTATGATCACAGGGACTATATGATTAGCAAGACCTCAATCCTCACTTCATCTCATCTTAGCTTCAGTTGGTCATAACTCTCTATTTCAGTTTTGCTAAATTTCTTTTTTTTTTCTTAAAGTAGGCTTAAGTTTTACAGAATCATTTTCATCTGTGCATATATGAAAATTCGCAAAACCTATCTTTTATAGGTGAATGATTCTTCGAAGCCAAGCTGTAAATAGAGGCATTTTTTCACTTAAAATTATGAAGCTATGAACTCAGTGCAACCGAAACAACTGAACATAATTGTGACATCTCTGCAGCTATTTTTATGTTCTAACGATTGAAATTCACTCAAAGAAGGTAAATTAAAGAGGTTAATGAAAGAAAATAGAAATAGAAATCATTGTGATTTGTGTATAGTTACCCTTTATAGGTTCTACTTGTTGTTATTCCAATTTATATATTGTTTGCTCTAAGAAAAAAGATATTGTTATTTCTTTTGCACCAAGAAAAAGATTCAATTGGTTTCATCTTTCCAACTTGAAGGTAGATTCCTATTAGTGTAATTGAATTGTGCCAGAAAATGTCCACAATTCTTCTTCTTTTATATAAATTCTTTCTTGCTCCAAGAAGTTTTACTTCTCAGAGGGAAAACATCATGACTTCAAGGAACTTCACTTAGATCTCCACAATTCAAAGTATACTATAACATTAAAACTTCATTTTCAGAAACCAAATTTACATATGATAAGTTCAATGCCTTACATCCATCAGTAACAATATCTGGACTTATCTAAAGAGTAACTCAGACCTGATTCACTTATTCTAAGCATGCCTTTTGATGCTTGCAAGACAGTCAAATTTATCAACATACCAAGCTCTAGCTATGATCAATAGTAGACTAGTAAAAGGCATCTTCATTAGCCTGAATCATCATCATTCTCAGGAAATTAGGGACTCTATTCCTGTAAAAAGGAAAAAAAAAATCTCTAAGTGCTCAATTGTCATTGCAATATGTTTATGGTAATAAGTTTTGATCAACTATACCTTTCGAATTTTTTTCGTGCCAAAGATCGTTGATCGAATCGTGGTCCTTCATCAAATCCTTCACAGACTATTTCTCCCTTTTCATCTCTGAAACATATTACCCCCAGGGCTTGATCTTCAAAAACCTGGCAATAAAAGAAATAAGAACCAAAGAGATCCAATGAACACCAAAATAGTTGCTTGAGTTGTAGCAGATCTTATACCTTGGTATCTGTACCAGATGTGTTTGATGAAACTGATACTTTGGGTGATATCTTGCTGTTATGACACAAGGAAGCTCTGCTGCTGGTCTTCTCAGGATGATAACCTCTTGGAATGATGATGTTAGTGTAAGAGAATCTGATTGCCATGGTGATCAGTCCTCCTCTACCTCTTCCTTCTCTAGAAGATAGATTGTTTGCTTTCAGAGCTTTCAGAGGAAACTGAGAGGGAAACAGAAGACCTTAAGGTCAGGTTGTCACATTCCTATGCTGCTAATGGAGTGGAAAGCAGAAGGGGGAGAGGAAGGAGATCTGAAGTTTGATTTCTTGATCTCCATTTGATTGACTAAATTGCTTTGCCATTGAGGACAGTTTCATCATAGAGTTGATGGTGTGTTGACCTTTTAGTAATGTAATCATGGTGATCTGTCTCATTTGATCAAATAGATGAGGTGTAGAGGTTGCTAAAGAGTGCAACGACTTAATGTCAAAAAGATGATGAGTGCTTGCAAAGTCTTTTCCATTTCTCATTGTTTCTGTTATCCTTATCCTGTTGCATAGCAAGTGCAGGTCCACTCAGGTCTTTTCTTTTCAGAGGAAATCATGACATACAACTATTGATGCACATAGTCAATCAAAGAGGGGTGATTTCATTGAGATACCAAGGAGGGGTGATTTCATTGCTGTTGACAATACAAACTTGATGTATGAAATCTCTAAACCTTGGCATAAGCCTATAACTTGAATATAACCAAGCAGAGAAGAAAAAAAAGGAAGAAATATTAACTATAAATTCTCACTAAATATGTGATATTTAACCGAATCCGCTTCTTAATTACCAAGAAAAATGTTTCAAATATCGATTAGACCTGTATATGTCAGCCCATCCAACTGATAATTGATATCAAGTCGAATCGTATAGATTAGTATTTCTTTTATTTTTTAAACTTTTTTCTACGGTATAATATCTAATATATAAGTATTGTCTTCGTCCCATAAGATATCGCAATCGATAACCGATAGAGATTTTAAATCTTAAATAGAAACACCAGGGCATGAAAACCTGATCAGGTGGAAGGCTAATACCAGACTGATCTGGCTCAGTGAAAACCTGCTTAATCCATGAGTGTGTGGGTTTTAGTTGTGGTCCTATCATTCTAATAGCAGGTCTCAATTATCCATGCAAATGCTGTCCAGCTCTATCTCTCCCATTAGCTTATCCAGACCTCTTGTTTTAATGCAAATGGTAGTGAACATGAAGTCATCTGCTATGTGCAATTTTGAGCTGGTTGGCCATTTGTGGGCTGTATTCGGGTGCTGCCTGCCTTCACTCAACTTGCATCTTCTTTGACAGGGCAAAGGAGTAGAAATGGACTAGAAAGTGATCCCCTCAGAAGAAAAACCCAAGTAGCTCACACATCTATAAGCATACTGATGAAGGAACAAAAAATCCTCAACTAAGGATAATTCAAATGACAATGGATTGATCATCAAATGGCTGACAAAATCTACTTAAAATGTTGCATTCCATGTCATGAATAGATTGTCATTTCCAATGGTTGAGTGTGTTGAAGATTACATGACTGAGAGAACAGGGAATGTGTTCAGCTGAATTCCAGCAGCTTCCCTGAGGTCTAGGAAAGGAGGTAGGGAAGACAAGTTTTACGAGCTGTTACATAGCCCCAACTCCTCAAGCTTGACATGCTGAATGCATCATCAGATTCCTAATCCACTTTGGATGTGGTTCTATCAACTCCTGGAATGCTGTAGCAGACTAAGAACAATGCAATGTCATTCCTTCAGCCCTGTTGGATTTCCTTCTACAATTGCGGAAGAGAGAGAACAAAAAGAATTAGTGAAACATGAGGTGCATAATTCAATTCCATTGCCGAAAAAGAATGCAGAGTAAATGTATGATGATCTCAGCTACCATGGAGCAGTGGAAGGAAAGCATATACCATCGTCGATGAGGCCCTTGGCATGTCGTTCCATGCACTGGAGGATGTACTTGAACGTCTCGATCTCACAGGGGATGGTGAGCGCGCCCTTGTGATCGAAGCCGAACTCCTCCTCGGCCTTCTGGAGCAGCAGCCTGAACACCGGGAGGCCGAGGTAAGTGGTGGGGATCACGAACCTCCGCTGCTCCGGTCCTACGTACACCGGGCAGTACCCCTTGGGCACGTCCGGCGGCGCCTCCGGGCTTCGACAGCACTCCTCGTCGGAGTCACAAAGCAGCAGCGCGCTCTTCAGCCGCTTGTCGACGGCGGGAGGCACGCCAGCCGCCTTGCGTCGGCCCTCCTTTGGCCGGAGGGCAGCGGAGTGCCATTTCTGAAGGATCTCCCGCAGCCTCACGATCTGCCTGATGCCGGTCAACTTCCCACCTTTGCCAGCCATGGCCGCAGGAGGAAGCTGAACGCTCATCAGTTGTCAGTGGCCTCCGGCGTTCATAGCTCCGCCTGCACAACAATTAGATGATCATGCGACGATGATGGCAATATCTCAACACACCTCAATGACTCTGCAACAACACGATTACTGCAAACTGCTCTTCTGGATCGACCAATCAGTAACATTAGCAGCTCACATCACAAGGATTACTTGGGAGATTAGATCAGGAAGAGCCAAGTTTAAGTATGACAACATGCAGACATGGACAAGGATGATACCAACATAGCAGCACATGGTGACAAGCTTCAACTGGAATCTCGTACAAGATCTTACATATAACAAGATTTTATATTTCGGACAACTTCGATGCACCATGTGAGGTTCCTGACATTAAATCTAATCTAATTCAATTCTCCTTACACATGTATCAAATGGAACCATCCACAAGTTCCAGCTGCGGGTGAGTTAACGAGGATTTGGACATCTAATCTGGGGAGTCACATTCATGACACAGCTTCGCATTTATTAGAATAACAAATCTGGCAAACAACATTCCAGGATTCACCCCATGGGATGGAGAAATTGGATTGTTACAGCAAAAAATGACACTAATTTCGTAGGTTTTGGAGATTAGTTCTTGAAACAGTTTCAATTGAAAGAAATAAGAACAGATGCAACCCTTGTAAGTGCCATAAATTTCCTATGTATTATACATCTATTGCGGTGATGAACTAAGAATATTTAAGCTATAAAATCACAAACTAAATTACAGGACAAGAAGATCAAATTGCAGATTCCACTCCTAAGAATCAAATATGGAATTAATCATAGATAAGACATGTTTGGAAACTATTGATACCTTGGGAGGGATTAAAGATGAGGTGAGGCTGCCGTTGTAAATGGAGAAAGAAGAGTCTTGGGAAGACGAAGAACAAGAATAAGAAAGGAAGAAAGGAAACCTAGAATGACGAAATTACCCCCGAAGTTTGAAGTTGTACCGCACATAAGCGATGCCCCCCGAGGGCAATATGGGAAGGGAAAATAATAGTCGAGTTGGCCCGGTCAATGGTCAACGGTCAACGCGTCAACCTCGGACGAACATTCCCGCCCGATCGAAGCGCCGAACGGACGGTCCTCCGTAGAGGCCTCGCTGGCCTCCTCCACGCCGTGCGATCCCCGACTCATCGGACGGTCGAGATTGATTGATTGATTCAGAAATTGCCCTAGATGGATTTAAGTAAATTTCACTATTTTGAACTTTTAGATTGAACATTATTACGATACAAATGTAACCATTAAGGAAAACATATTTGTACGTACAAATCTTTTGTAATAGTCTTTAGAGATGAAATTATGAGAATAAAATATTTTTAATATTTTTAAATTCGGAAAATATTATTTAATATTGATGTTGTCATCCTAAGAGTTCTACCTTATCATTGATCTGCCAAACGTTGGGTGTGACTCCACCGACCCAAACACCACGAGTGGGTCCAACGTGGGCTCCAACTTTATTTCTCCAATTATAAGAGAGATAGCCAGACAGGTCAGAAGGGAACACACGTAACTTCCACTTTCTCTGGGACCCACACGTTAGTCCGGCAAACGACTCCGTCAACGTTGAACCCGAGAGACGTTTCTAGATTTCAGACAAAAATATCTGCGCTCCAAACCCATCTCGATCGTTCGTCTATATACGCACCGCACATCATACGGTCTGCAACGGGTGGTGACTAAACCAACGTAAAGCGCGATCTGACTCTTCGTCTGGTTAGGATTCTGTGAGGACAGGGGCTGTGGTGAGGTTACCCTAAGAACCTCGCTGCAGCCGGAAACTAATAACAAATGTGACGGACTGTTTCCGGATGGCTGCTAGGAGGAGGACGCGGAGGAGCAGGCCCGGGTTCTTCCCAGTCCTCTACATTTGCATTTCTGCCTCCTCTCTCTCTCGCGTCCTCCCTCACGGAATTCTTCCTGGTCGCGTGCCTGAGTCGTGGGACGCATGAACATGGACGAGCTTTGATCTGTTCCTGCGAATTTCGGAGGCCTCGCGGTTGCAATGGCGGCCGAAGAGGACAAAAGCGGCGACTTCTACGCCGTGTTGGGGCTCAGGAAGGAGTGCTCCGAAACCGAGCTGAGGAATGCGTACAAGAAGCTTGCCATGGTACGTTTGGGACTCAAAGTCTCTTCTTTTCCTCAAATCGATGGCCGGCCTCGGATTCAATCGACTGGAAGAGCGGAAATATCATAGCTTTGGTGTAATCAAAGCGATTTGACGGACGATCCATCGAAAAGTTTCGATTTTTACCTTGTTCTCTCGGGCTTTAACGTTCGTTCTGTATGATTACTCTATAAGGTTCTTGTTTCCTTGAATGATTTTGATTGCCGGTGTTTGGAATTGGTAGGAACTGCATCATTTCTTTAGATGATTCGGGGTCCCTTTTCATGATCTGCTGTCATCGTCTGCGGTTCTCGCTTTCGAACGATAAAAGCTGTGACTCAACATTTGTAAGTCGTGGATCGGTTAAAGCCTTTGCCATTAACGAAGGTGTTCTTGTCCCTTTCTCAAATGACCAACAGAGGTGGCATCCGGATAAGTGCTTGGCTTCGGGAAATGCTCAAATCGTGGGGGAAGCCAAGGAGAAGTTTCAGGAGATCCAGAAAGCCTACTCTGGTTTGTTCCTCTTCTCCTCTTCTTCTCCCTCCAACTGCCCTGTTCTGTTTGAGCTTATACTGTACCTCGAACCTTCCATTTCAGAGACAATTTGCAATGCTAGATACTATATTAATAAGCAGCAATTCTCTCTGTAGCGGAATTAGAAAACATATCGTGGTTTTATTCCATAAAAAAAAAGACATTTTTGTGGTTCATTGTGCTTCGATTTTGATCAGTTCTCTCAGACTCCAATAAGAGATTCCTGTACGATGTGGGAGTCTACGACAACGATGATGACAATGACGAAAACGTATGTCCTCATTGGTAACGGTAGTCGGTACACATGTTCTATAGTCTACTCACTGTAACTAATGGTGTTCTTCTTGGTATTTTCTCACAATTGATAACTCTGCAGGGTATGGGAGACTTTATAGGGGAGATGTTGGAGATGATGAGCCAAACGAAACCCAATGTAAGACTAATTTTCTTGCCATTTGAATTCTCTGATCCTTTCTGTGCTCTTTGGCTAATTGGTCTATTAACGTGCAGGAGAACAGCCAAGATAGCTTCCAGGAGCTGCAGGAGCTGTTTGTGGAGATGTTCCAGGACGACCTGGATGCCGGATTTGGTGGTTCCATCTTCCACGATTGCCCCTGGGCTCAACCGACCAATGGCCAAGATTGCTGGACTTCATCGGGACTGCACTTTGCTAATGGAAGGAGTAAGTGTGGCAACAAGCGGGGCAACTCAGCTGTGAACTTGGGAAAGGTCAATCTTGAAGAGTTGGAACATGGTACCAGCGACTTCTATTTTGGGGTGAGTCACTGACTCATGGGGTCTCATCTTTTCCTTATAATCCCTCATGAGCTGGAACTGAATTGTTTTGTGTGCTAATAAGCTATGTAAAATCTAGTTGATGTCAACTATTAAGTAAGTCTTCACCCATGTATGGCAAAGTAATTAAAGCATACATATGCCATCCTATGGTCATGATCCAGTTGACCTTAAGATATCAGTGATTGTAGGTCGACTGTAAACAAAAAATATATGGACGTAGCTGGACAAGGATAAGGTATCGTATAAAAACTGAAATGAGAATCTGATGCAATTATATTTAATGTATCATATGAGGATTGAAGGTTCGCTGCATGATCTGACCATGACTTGTCATAAGTAGGAACTGATTTTATGAGGCTGGCCATGACTTGTGATAGGTAGGAACTGATTTTGCTTTATACATAAGATGCACTTTATTAGATGGCGTAACATGATTAATCTATGATGTAACCATGGTATATGAATGTATACCATTTCAATATTTAGGTAGGAGTGGCTTCCATGAAGAACTATCAACCTGAGTGATGGATCTGATTTGAATTATTTCCAGAAGCAAATTAAGCTGTTTTATATGCTTGTTCACCCTACTCTCTGATGTGGCATTATTACTGTACTTTTAACAATGATTCAATTTTGAGTAAGAAAAGGGTGGCATGTATTACAAGGCTATCCACTAATGCATCCGACAAAAAGTGGTTTTGGGAGGGTCAATATTTGCAACCATACCAAGAAATTGTTAAGCTGTTTCCATGACTTGACCCTAGCAGTTCATAAAGGAGAAATCCTGCTGTGACAATGAGACTCGTTTCTAATGGACTGAACCAATAGAGTAGAATGTATCGCTTTATGTGATCTATTTAAATTTCATTCCATGGCATTTTATTTTCTGAAATAATGCTCAACTTTACTAGTTAACAATACTCCTGATTACTGCTTTATAATTTTTCATGATTTGTGCTGGCAGCTAAATGATGCAGCACAGCCATCACAAGGGAAAGGAGGCAGTAATAACAAGAGAAGGAATGGAAGAAAGCAAAAGGTTTCATCCAATCATGATGTCTCATCCTGAGAGATCTCAGTTTAGAGCTTCTAGTTCACACCCCATGTTTCCTTTTGTTTAGTTATTTGTCAAATTTTCCTATTCTCATGCTTTTAACTCCCGAATTGCAAACCATGACTCTTTGCCCGGGACCTTTCGGCTGCAGGGTAGTGACCTAGTTTCTCAATTGTATGCACTCTGATTGGTAGCTGTTTGAAATAGGATAAGTTGGTGCTTGGTTCAAGATGTTCAATAATTTCCTACTGTTAACCCTGTTGTATTTTCTTGGTATAAGGTTCTCTATATGCTTAGTGCCAAAAACAAAACTACAGAGACACAGTCATCAGTAGTGTGCCTTCTTGAACAGTTACTTACTATGTTGATTTAATTTGCTTTACTCTAAAATGACATACAACTAAGGCTTTATAATGTTAGGTAGCTGTGCACATGCTATATCGAAATTATGTTTTGATGTTCCTTTAATGATCTGGCTTTGGTGTTTAGACTATAAGCATTCAGATAAAAATATTGATATATTATTTAGAGTTGTATAGCTCTGTTACAGATGTGTGCAAAGGTAAAATAAGTAGCTTTCAGGATATGTTAGTTAAAGAAGAGCATAATTGATTGTTCATGACATACCTGTTATGTATGAGTAATGAGATTTTGGAGTCTGGTCTCTTACAGGAACATTTTGACAGGATGATGTGAAGTGCATTATTTAGGCACAGGCTGTGATTTAGATGAGTAACTATCACAGGATATGATTGAAGGCATATCACAAATGAGAAATAATGTAAACTAGACATCAGAAGGAATTAAGGAAGAATGACACGAAAAGATACAAAATATATATTCTGAGGAATCATTAGATAAAGATTGCATACCTCCTGCTGTGTCCTGATTCGGAATTAGCCGACAGCTTATAGGAGCTTCCATTGAAGGTGTTTTCTAGGCTCATATTAGCTGACAGTGCTGTCATGTCTCATGGTCCACAGAACATGCAAGTCTCCATGGCTGTGGTGGATGAACTGGGACTGAACATTTGAAAGATGATGGTATGAATCTGTATGATTGGAGTCAGTAAGTCTCTGATACTGGCTGAACCTTTGTGGGCACAGTTCCACAGAGATCCTTGGCCTGAAATATTGCGAAGTCTTGAAGGCTTTGTGGTGCCCCAATCTTTGCAATGGCAACTTTTTCTCATCTTTCGTGGGAAAGTGACAATACTTTGTTTGTTAGTATGAAATTGGCCTCCTTGTTGGTCCTTTTACCTTCATCTTCATCTTGAAGAAGATCCTAACTATTACAATGACACTGGAGCAAACTAAGGTGCATGAATCCACCTTCAATATATCCTGCTCTGTAG